TTGTCTAATTATTGGAGCTCTGTTAATAAAGAAAAAGGAAATAAACTAATCAATGAATTTTTTCAAAGGGCAAAAATGATAGATAATAAATCTATTAAATTTAGTCCTGTGGATGTATTTGAAAATCGAATTAGATTGTCTGATGATAATAGGAAAACAAAATACTTAACTAAAATATATGATCCTTTCTTGAATGGACGCGTTCGTGGAGAAATCCAAAAAGGCTTTTCACCCTTCATTCCAAATGAAACTGACACAACAAACTACATTTTGATAAATAAGATTCATGGTCTCCTTCTTTCTATTAATAGTAATGATCCAGAATTTGAACAGAAAATAGATCAATTTGATAGAAAATTATTATTAAATGAAATTGGTTTTTTTTTTAACTTAATCAGTAAATTTTCGGAAAAATCAGTATCAAGTTTGAATTTTGACGGACTTTATTTATTTCCAGAACATGAACAAGTAAAAATATATTCCGAAGAAAAAAAAACAAAAAGAAAATTATTATTGGACGCAATTCGAACTGATCCTACTAATAATACAATTTTTAATAGAAAACTATGTAGTGAAATAAACGAAATAAGTAAAGAAGTTCCTCGATGGTCATACGACTTAGTCGACGAATTGGCGGTATTGATGGACGCGAGTCCAAAGGAGTCTCAGATTCGTTCCCCAAAAGCTGACCGTATAGTTCTTTTTAATAGTAAAACAGATTCTAATGACAATCAGAATAGTGCTGAACCGGACAGAAATACTGAATTTGCTGTAGTTCATTATTCACGCGAACCAGATTATTGCCGAGACCTAATCAGAGGATCTATGCGCCCTCAAAGGCGTAAAACAGTAACTTATAAACTCTTTCAAGGAACTGCACACTCCCCTCTTTTTTTGGAGATAATGGGCGACTACGCGTTCTTGTTTGGTGATCTTGTCTATGATATCTCCCAATATTTGAAAGAATATTTCAGGAAACCGGGTAAAGATTCGTCTTCCGGAGAAGATTCGTCTTCCGTATAAGGTTTGTCTTCCGTCGAAGGTTCGTTAGAAGGTTTGTCTTCCGTCGAAGGTTCGTTAGAAGGTTTGTCTTCCGTCGAAGGTTCGTTAGAAGGTTTGTCTTCCGTAGAAGGTTCGTTAGAAGGTTTGTCTTCCGTAGAAGATTCGTATTCGTCTTCCGTAGAAGAGTCGTATTCGTCTTCCGTAGAAGGTTCGTCTTCCGTATAAGGTTTGTCCCATTCAATGGGATCCAGAGAAAACATGTCTTCATCCATAGGATTCCAAGTACCTGGATCAATCGAAAGTTCGATTCTATCTGAACTGCTCATTTTCAAATGATCTCCACAGTGTTCGCAAATATTCATTTTGGATTTAAAAAATTTCTTATAATTTAATCCAAAGCAACTTTCGCATTCAACCCATAAATGCTTAAATTTTTCAGTATAAGAAGTATCTTTTGGATCATCAGGATATTGTATTGGAGTAAATTTACTATTATTTGTATCATTAGAATATTCTATTGGAGTAAAATCACTATCATTTGTATCATTAGAATTTTCTATTTCATACAAATCACTATCATTTGTATCATCTAAAATGTAACTATTCAAGTCACTGATATTGGCATTGTAGTTGTCACTATCATCTAAATAACGAAGATAACTCTCAATCCAACTATGAATGTCATTATCCATATCAGTTAAAATAGATGGGTCATCAGTTAAAATAGATGAGTCATCAGTTAAAATAGATGGGTCATCAGTTAAAATATATGGGTCATCAGTTAAAATAGATGGGTCTTCATTTACACCGTTATTTTCAATAGGATAAAAACTATCTTCAATAGGATCAAAACTATCTAGGGATTTACTTAAACCACACCTATATTCTAAATCCCTATTAAACAGCAACATTGGATTGAACCACTTTAAAATACAATAGATGAATAGTCATTCGATGATCATTTTTTATCGACTTAAGTATAGAAATAGAATTGCGAGGATTAATAACTTATAATAATAATGAGCGAAGAAGTATTGAACAAATGTATCATTTATATTTGAATATCAAATCAATAACTATTTCTAATATAAAAATGAATGAATAGAATAAAAACAAAGAAGTAAAAAGGCTCATTTGGTCTACGGTATTTATGCACCAAATTAGTTTATTTCTTGACTTTTTCCTAATATGAGGTAGGTTGAGCACCGAATTTTGGAATAAATAGATCACTCAAATCGAAAAATCGAGGATCCCTATTTCTAGATACTAGAAACTAGATAGTATAAAGAAAATAGGGCATGTAAGACTCCGCAGCTAATATAGTCACGTTTTTCAAGTCCCACGCTGCTTTTTACTACATCGTTTCAAACGAGGTTTTACCATAACATTATTTTTTAGTTTCAATCTGGTATGTAATTGATTCCATTTTGAAATCGTGCATAGTCATTGACTCAATCAATAGATAATAATATATACTTTTCACTTCTAGGTTTTAGGTTTTCTGACTATACAATTTTATTTCTAAAGTCAAGAAGTCGAAATTAAGTCAATATTCTATTTTCATGGTTTGTAAATTAAATATAAAAAAATCAATTTCTAAAAAAAAAAAAAGGAATCTTTATTCGGATATACAATTTGTATTGAAATAGGTATATATCTTGAATAGATATGATCTGGGACGGAAGGATTCGAACCTCCGAATAACGGGACCAAAACCCGCTGCCTTACCGCTTGGCCACGCCCCATTTTGATTCGACATAAATAGTATTATGAGTTGTTCGTAAATTACACTTCGAAATTTATTCTATAGAATAAATTGTTGCTAGAATTTTGATATGTATCGATATCGAATTAAACGAAATTTATTGATCATTCCATAGAATTCAATTAAGATATTGTTTGAACTTATTCAGTTCAAATCAAAAAAAGTGGGGGTCTGATCTTAGTTGATTCATCTTTTTTTTTCGTTTTATTACTGATTTAGTAATCTTCATATCTATAAATAGGAATTCAATATTTTATATTCTATCCTTTTAGATTTTCAAATTATTCATTTTCTATTCTATATATTCTCTATTCTATCTAAATAAAATCAAAAAATTTTGATTTTATATTTCATTGTTAATATAAAAGTATAATACAAAAATGGATAATAATAATAATAAATTATATAATAAATCATATCATATATAGAATAAATCATATCATATATAGAATAAATCATCTATATAATAATAAAAAAAATACAATCAAAATTAGAATTAAAAACAAAAGAAAAAAGACAATTCATTTTCTTAAAGAAAAACATTTTTGTTATGCTTAATATCTTTAGCTCGGTCTGTATTTGTATTCACTCTGCCCTTTATTCAAGTAGTTTTTTCTTGGGGAAATTACCAGAAGCTTACGCTTTTTTGAATCCAATTGTAGATTTTATGCCAGTAATACCCTTACTCTTTTTTCTCTTAGCTTTTGTTTGGCAAGCTGCTGTAAGTTTTCGATAAGATCTTTAATTTGAATAATGTCCGAAAAAAAAGTCAGAATTTATTAGAAAACTCAAATTTTAACATTTTTAAAAATAAGATAAGTCTTACAGTGTGAATCCGTGATTATAAATCTTGAAATTGTTGGATAGACAATAAAAATATGGATCATCTCATCATTTCCTTTTTTTCCATTCAAAAATAAAAATTATATTATTCTATTATTCGATTTGAGTCTACCACCAATACGTGGATCTTGTGGATATGAAAGAAAATTGAATTGTTGGTAATGGTAAAACAAAGGCTCAACTCTTACTACAAATCAATTTTTTTAGTTTTTTTGAAATAACTTCATTTCTTATAAACTGAGTATCAAAGGAAACATAATATGAAATACAAGAGAATCTATTCTCTTTCTCTGTCGTTTTTTTTTTTTTATTATCTTGGAGATTTTGTAATGCTTACTCTAAAACTATTTGTTTACACAATAGTGATATTCTTTGTTTCTCTTTTCATCTTCGGATTCCTATCTAATGATCCAGGACGTAATCCTGGACGTGAAGAATAAGAAAATCTTTGTTCTTTTCCGTACTTATGCTGGATTTTTAAATATTTTTCGTTTTTCTATCTATTTTACATCTTTAACTAGTAAAAAATGAAACAAACAGGGAATAAAAAAAAAAAGAAATTCCAGAAGTTCAAAAGAAAAAAATGCCAAATCATCAATAAACGGAAAGAGAGGGATTCGAACCCTCGGTACAAAAATTCGTACAACGGATTAGCAATCCGACGCTTTAGTCCACTCAGCCATCTCTCCCCAATTCAAAAAATTGAATTATTATGCTTATGATACCTCGGATAAACAAAAAGAACAAAAAGTAGGGCTCAAAAAAGCCTTCTATATATCTTATTTGATATTGATCGTCATTTGATATATCTTATCTATCTATCTTTTTTCTATTTGATTATCATTTTATTTAATTACTATTCATAATTCTATATTAACTCATAAATATTAGTTATATTTTCTTATACCTATACTAAAGTTATATTCTATATATACGCAATATAAAATTTTTTCTTTTCTTTTTTTTTTAGTTTGTTTTTTTATCCAACCAGAGTCCAGCTAGGTACTGGCACGGCTCTTTTTTCCCATGAATCACAATGATTTATTTTTCTGTATCAGATTTGAAAGAAACTTGTAATTAAGGAAAACATTTTAATACGATCAAACAAAAATAAAAATAACTTTTTGATCGTATATCATACGAATTAATCAGTTAACGTATCTAAAAAAAGAAATAGAACTATGGATTCTTGCACAATGCATTTTTGTCTTATGAATTTCGTTTAGTAATTTTGTCGAGATCTATCTGTCAAAATACCTTCAACAAAATCCAAAAATGAGATTCGCCCCCTTTTCTAAATTTCATTAGGGGGCCCTTTACGAAACATGTGAACACTGTATTTATCATAAAATTCTGCACCTATTTCATAATTAGGACTGATTCCCCTTCCTGTATTGATATTGACAAAAGATCTTTTTATATACAATAATAGTATTGTAGCGGGTATAGTTTAGTGGTAAAAGTGCGATTCGTTCTATCGACCCCTTAATAGTAATAGTTAAGGGGTCCCTTCCGTGATTCATATCACGATCAAAAACTTTATTTCTTACTTAAAGGTATTTAATCCTTTATACCTCTCAAGGAGCAATTCGAGGAATAATATACATTATCATAATTTGTATACAATTTAGAATTGATTCTAAAATTATGAAACATAAGTTTTTGCAATTGGATCCAGAATCCCAATTTTTGAATATAAGTAAAGGATCCAGGGAGAAAGATATATAAAATTCGTTTCCAATCGTAACTAAATCTTCCAATTTTTTTATTATTTGTTTTGTATAGGAGAGATTGAAGCAAAATAGCTATGAAATGATTTTTTTAGTTTACTAGAAACATCAACATATTTTTTTAGCTCGACGGAAATTTTATTCTTTTCCTAAAGATTCTCTCAAATAGAAATAGAGAACGAAGTAACTAGAAAAAAAGAGATTGTTCGAATACTCCTTTTCTATAGGGATCATCTAAAAAGCAACGTTAATTGTATTCATACCGAAAGGCTGACATAGATGTTATGGATTCTTTTTTTCATGTATTCCATCTATCTCTTAAATTATTCTGTAAAGGAGCTGAATGAAACAAAAGTTTCACGTTCAGTTTTGAATTAGAGACGTTCATTCATAAACGTCGACTATAACCCTTAGCCTTCCAAGCTAACGATGCGGGTTCGATTCCCGCTACCCGCTTATATTCTATTTTTTATTTAGTAAATTTCTTCATTTAGTTTTAGTATAGAATTCTTTTTTCTTTCCCTTTTCACGAAATTTTCGTGAAAAGGGAAAGAAAAAAAGAAAAGCGTCCATTGTCTAATGGATAGGACAGAGGTCTTCTAAATCTTTGGTATAGGTTCGAATCCTATTGGACGCAAATTGATTACATATTGAATTGATTGCAATTGCATATATATTAATTGAATTCGTATATTTATAAAAATATATTGTGAATTTATTATCTTTATGATTCTTTTTTTTAAGAGACTAATGATAGAAATTTTTTAACGGTATGAAAATTTTAATCAATTTTTTTCTACTTGTTCCTGAAGTAAAAAGAGTTCCATCTGTTCCTGAATAGCTTCCTTCAAAATGGCTTCTGCTTCCCCAGTGAATGTCTTGGTAGAAGGGCTATTCCTAAAGGGTTGGCAAATCAATGGGATCAGGGATACTTCCAGCAAGAAATATATCGAAGAGTTGGTGCTGGGCTAGTCAAAAATCAAAGTTTATCAGAAGCTTGGTCTAAAATTCCTGAAAAATTAGCTTTTTATGATTACATCGGTAATAATCCGGCAAAAGGGGGTTTGTTTAGAGCGGGCTCAATGGACAATGGAGATGGAATAGCGGTTGGTTGGTTAGGGCATCCTATCTTTAGAGACAAAGAGGGGCGTGAACTTTTTGTACGTCGTATGCCTACTTTTTTTGAAACATTTCCGGTTGTTTTGGTAGACGGAGACGGAATTGTTAGAGCGGATGTTCCTTTTCGAAGGGCAGAATCAAAGTATAGTGTCGAACAAGTCGGTGTAATTGTTGAATTCTATGGTGGTGAACTCAATGGAGTCAGTTATAGTGATCCTGCTACTGTGAAAAAATATGCTCGACGTGCTCAATTGGGTGAAATTTTTGAATTAGATCGTGCTACTTTAAAATCAGATGGTGTTTTTCGTAGCAGTCCAAGGGGTTGGTTTACTTTTGGACATGCTTCGTTTGCTCTGCTCTTCTTTTTCGGGCACATTTGGCATGGTGCTAGAACCTTGTTCAGAGATGTTTTTGCTGGTATTGATCCAGATTTGGATGCGCAAGTAGAATTTGGAGCATTCCAAAAACTTGGAGATCCAACTACAAAAAAACAGGGAGTCTGATAGAAATAGGTTTGTTCCTTTTCGATTCGACTTTTTTTGTTGTTATTTGAATTTGATATAGGGAACTAGAGAAATATTGATTTCAATCATTCCATTTTGTTTTACTCTGGTTCTTTCTTTTTCTTTATCCAGGAGATAATTCCCCCAAAACAGGTATGAAAGCTATAATTGTAAACCACGATCAAATCTATGGAAGCATTGGTTTATACATTCCTCTTAGTCTCGACTTTAGGAATCATTTTTTTCGCTATTTTTTTTAGAGAACCCCCTCAAGTTCCAACTAAAAACACAAAATGATTTTTAATTATCTCAATTGAAGTAACGAGCCTCCAATATTACGATATTGGGGGCTCATTACTTCAACTAGTCCCCATGTTCTTCGAATGGATCTCTTAGTTGTTGAGAGGGTTGCCCAAAAGCAGTATATAAGGCATACCCAGTAAAACTTACAATTAAACCGGATATAGAGATGGCAATTAGGGTTGCTGTTTCCATGATTATAGAATATCAAGACTACAATGGATCTATAGGGTACGATCCTTTATCTACAGCGGAATGGTATACAAAGTCAACAGATCTCAATAAAAAAAAGATATATAGGATTTATGGCTACACAAACCGTTGAGGGTAGTTCTAGATCTGGTCCAAGACGAACTGTTGTAGGAGATTTATTGAAACCATTGAATTCAGAATATGGTAAAGTAGCTCCGGGGTGGGGAACTACCCCTTTGATGGGGATTGCAATGGCCCTATTTGCGGTATTTCTCTCTATTATTTTAGAGATTTATAATTCGTCCCTTTTACTGGACCAAATTTCTATGAATTAGAGAATTAGATTCACAAGAACCAACTAACTAGCTTTTCAATCGAAAAGTCAAGTTTAGCATTTAAATCGTTAATTTTTAGCCCATTCCATTTTGATTTGGTAGTTCGACCGCGAAACTTCTTTGTTTCTGTATTTCCGGAATATGAGTGTGTGACTTGTTATAATGGATCCTATTGATAGTACAGAACAGAAAATGGATACGTCATCTTATCTTGATAGATGGCTTTCCCCCGTCAGATATTTATTCTAGTATCTGGAGCACGGAATATAGAAAATAAATAGATTCTAAAGTGTTAGAACTATGATTCATACTTCATATTTATATTGATATTTAGACCTCGCAACCGGACGAAAAAAAATGAAAGAATTATAAGAATTCATTTAGAAAAAGAAATGGAATTTTATTCTTTAAAACTGCCACCGCTTATCATTTCTTTGTCTTTTTTTTTTTCATTCTATCTATTAATTGAATAAATGATGATCCAGCAGTTCTTACTCAGGGAATTTATGGACTTCGATTAAAGGTTTTTTGGGGAAATCATCGTGGTTCTGGTATGAATCTCAGGTTTTTAAATTGATTCTATAGGGTCTTAACAAGAAAATTCTTATTAATCATAAAAAAAAACAGCAGTAAAATCTTATTACATACACAATACAAAAAAAATGAAGTAAATAATAGAATATTCAAGAGGCCGGTAAGGATCAAGAGAAAAGACGAGTGAGCCGACTTGAAATTTTGACATTATAAACACTAAGAATAGCTTTTGGATTTCTATTTTTTTTTATCTTCAAAAAAGACTGGAATAATAGGATTAAGTGAAAAAGTTTAAGACTTTCTATTACACGTATCCGTTTTCCAAATAACCAGTATTTGAGTATTTTTGTTTGAGCCGTACGAGATGAAATTCTCATATACGGTTCTCAGGGGGGTCCCTTGGTTTACCTATCTCAATAAAGTCTATGATTGGTTCGAAGAACGTCTTGAGATTCAGGCGATTGCCGATGATATAACTAGTAAATATGTACCTCCTCATGTCAATATATTTTATTGTTTAGGAGGAATTACACTTACTTGTTTTTTAGTCCAAGTAGCGACGGGTTTCGCTATGACTTTTTATTATCGTCCAACCGTTACGGAGGCTTTTGCTTCTGTTCAATATATAATGACTGAGGCTAACTTTGGTTGGTTAATCCGATCAGTTCATCGATGGTCAGCAAGTATGATGGTCTTAATGATGATCTTGCACGTATTTCGCGTGTATCTCACTGGTGGTTTTAAAAAACCTCGCGAATTGACTTGGGTTACAGGTGTAGTTTTGGGTGTATTGACTGCATCCTTTGGTGTAACAGGTTATTCCTTACCTTGGGACCAAATCGGTTATTGGGCAGTCAAAATTGTAACGGGTGTACCCGACGCTATTCCTGTAATAGGATCCTCGGTGGTAGAGTTATTGCGCGGCAGTGCTAGTGTGGGACAATCTACCTTGACTCGTTTTTATAGTTTACATACTTTTGTATTACCTCTTCTTACTGCCGTATTCATGTTAATGCACTTTCCAATGATACGTAAGCAAGGAATTTCTGGTCCTTTATAGAGAATATGAATCATAGAGATTTGTAATCAATCATTTTGGGGAGGAGTAATAGTATTTCATTGCTACAAATATGCATTATTTTTCTTTAATAAGACATGTATTTGGATATTTCCCTTCAACTTAACAAAATAAACTGGATTCTTTATTTGACATACACAAATAGTTGAAGGGAACTCTCCGAAAAAAGAATGGATTATGGGAGTGTGTGACTTGAACTATTGATTGGGCCATGCAGATATATGACTTGATCTTATCTGCCACATTTGAATTCACAATGAAATGTGTCTTTGTTCCAACCACCGCGTCAGTCCTCTACAGAGGATAGTCCGGTTCGCTTGAAGATAATCTTTTCTATGATCAGACTCGATCATATCCTGCATGAACAGGCTCCGTAATATCCAGTAAAAAAAGGAATATGATATAATCTAGATTATGTCGTATGTATTTCATTAAACTTACATAGTATGGAAATGCATTCATTTCCTATGCATTGACTCAATTTATGATACTATCGGAGTTAAACAAGTAGATCTAAAGAAAAAGGGGGGTTGTATTCTATTAGTAACAAGTAAATCCTTTCTATGTCAAAAATTCCAAAATTCATTTTTCGAGGTATAACAGGCGAAAGGTTTGAGATCACCCAGAAAGAACTTTTGATTTTTATTTTAAAACTTACTTGGGTGAAAAGCATTTACTTAAAAATAAGAACTTAATTTTTTGCAATGGATAGTTGTAATTTCGGAAAAAAAAGAATTCAACCCGTTTTATTACATAGAATCATGATATATGAGTGACTCACATCTACAAAATTTCTATGTCTGCATTCAGTTGGTTTGATTCGTGCTCGAGCCGGATGATGAAAAATTATCATGTCCGGTTCTTTCGGAGGATGGATCTATAAGAATTCACCTATCCCAATAACAAAAAAACCTGACTTGAATGATCCTGTATTAAGAGCAAAATTGGCCAAAGGGATGGGTCATAATTATTATGGCGAACCCGCATGGCCTAATGATCTTTTATATATTTTTCCAGTAGTTATTCTGGGTACTATTGCCTGTAACGTAGGCTTAGCGGTTCTCGAACCATCAATGATTGGGGAACCCGCAGATCCGTTTGCAACTCCTTTGGAAATATTGCCCGAATGGTATTTTTTTCCCGTATTTCAAATACTTCGTACCGTACCCAATAAATTATTGGGCGTTCTTTTAATGGTTTCAGTACCGGCGGGATTATTAACAGTACCTTTTTTGGAGAATGTGAATAAGTTCCAAAACCCATTTCGGCGTCTAGTAGCAACAACCGTCTTTTTGATTGGTACTGTCGTGGCTCTTTGGTTGGGTATTGGAGCAACATTACCTATTGAAAAATCCCTAACGTTAGGTCTTTTTTAAATTGATTCTATTGTAAAATATCATGACAGGTGTATTGTGTTGTGTATCTAGGGAAAATTCACTTTGAAATGACTAATCCCTAGATACATCTATTTCATTTTAGACCTATTCTGAATATATTGATTTGTGCTAAAGATTCAAATTTCATATTTGAACCTTTCTTTTTATAAAAATGAAAGATTCAAAAAAATCCAATAGATTTTCAATTTATAAAAAATGCTTTTCGATTTGTAAAAAGTTGAATAATATATTTTGTAAATCTTCTACGCGAAAATGTTCAATTTTCAGAAGGTCTTCTTGAGTCTTATTCAAAAGTTCAAATAATGTATGTATATTGGACTTTTTAAGACAATTATAGATCCGGGGAGGCAATTCTAATTGGTCAATAAAAGTAGATTTCAATTTCATTTCTTTTTTATTTTTCCTTAGTTTATCCTTAACCAATCTATCATGAAAAGTAAAAAGGGGCAAAGTAATTTTGTGTTGATTGTTTTCAAAATTTAAGTTTTCTTCTTCTGCATGTAAAAAAGGAATAAATAAATCAATCAAATTCCGGGAGGCTTCATAAAGTGCTTCCTTAGGAGTTAAACTTCCATTTGTCCATATTTCGAGAACTAGTATCTCTTGTTTTTCATTTCCATTCACATAAGAATGAATACTATGATTTGCATTTCTAACAGGCATGAATACAGCATCTATAGTATAACTTCCATCTTGAATGTTGTTTAGTGTTTTTATACGATATCCCCGCTTTCTATCAATTTCTAATTCAATACACAAATTAATAGGTTCTGTTAGGTTAGCTATATGTTGTGTATTATCAATGACTTCCACCGAAGGTGGTAAAATGATGTCTTGAGCAGTTACATATCCAGGACCTTTGAAACAAATAGACGCGTCCCGAGTTCCATACAGATTACTTCTCAATACAACTTCTTTTAAATTCATTAAAATTTCATGTATTGATTCTTGAATACCTATTATGGTAGAATATTCATGTGGTATTTTCTCAGATTTTGCACGTGTGATACATGTTCCCTCTATTTCTCCGAGCAAAATTCTTCGCATTGCAATGCCTATTGTATCTGCTTGACCTTTCATAAGTGGAGACATAATAAAGCGTCCATAATAAAGACGCTTACTGTCTACCCTTGATTCAACACACTTCCACTGTAGTGTCTGAGTAGATACTTTTAGTTTTTCTCGAATCATAGTAATATATTTTTATGAAACTCTTGATTTAATTGTTTATTTCTCTTGAAATCTTTTTCTTTAATGTTTATTGTTAGTTTTACACACGTCTTTTTTTAGGAGCCCTACATCCATTATGTGACATAGGGGTTACATCCCGTATAACCCTTACTCGTATCCGACTTCCAGAAATAGCTCTTAATGCCGCCTCTCTTCCTAGACCGGGACCTTTTATCATGACGTCTGCTCGTTGCATGCCTTGATCGACTACTGTTTGAATAGCATTTCCCGCTGCGGTTAGAGCGGCAAATGGTGTCCCCCTTCGTGTATAAGAAGTATAAGAACCCTTTAATTGAACAAACGTTGAATAAGGAAGTGCCTGAAGGTTCCCAATCGGCTGAAGTTTTTTTCGAAAAAGGCTTATTGGATGCAATCGTATCACGTGATTCTTTAAAGGACTTTTTAAGTGAGTTATTTGAATTCCATGGTTGCTTTCCTTGGATTGAAAATGAAAACTAATGCAGACTATCATTTTATTTATGTTTTTCAATTTTTAACTTTTCATTAATATCATAAAATGAATATCATAAAGAAATCTTCTTATTATATAAAAATGATATAAAAAGAAAATGAGAACACACAAGAGTAAAGTAATAAGATAAGAATAAAAAATAAAGATTAATTATCATGGACATATTTCTTGTAGAAATAGACAGCAAAATAAATCCAGTTATTTCGTTCGACATTCCTTATATTTAATTTAATATTCAAATTATTAAAATTAACGATTTTGATTCTTAATAAATCTTATTCCATTTTTTTCTTATGGGTTTATTCTCTTTATATACTCCATATAGAATATATATATATATTCATATCTATTTATTTAGCTCTACATAGTAGAATTAAAAAAATAGACTTAGTATAAGTCTATATGAATTCTAGTGATTATAGACTTTCTTTATTCCAATATAAGAAGAATCCAAATATTAATCTAACAATCAACAAAAAAGAACAGGTACAAATATGAAATTGAGGTACCCCATTTTATGATAAACTTACCATCCCTTTTTGTTCCTTTAGTAGGCCTAGTATTTCCGGCAGTTGCAATGGTTTCTTTATTTCTTCATGTTCAAAAAAACAATATTTTTTAGATACCACAAGTTTCATATATTTTTGAAAATAGGGTTAAATTTTTTAGTTTGGATTTGTTCTTTTGTTCCATTTTTGAATAACTATTGCCTTCAATAAAAAAAAAAGAAAAGTACTAATATTATATAAGCCTTAATAAGATAAGGAGGTTTTCATATAACAACATAAATATTAATCTAACAATCAAGAAAAAAGAACAGGTACAAATATGAAATTGAGGCACCCATTTTATGATAAACGTTTATGTGTTTTTAGTGGGCCTTGTATTAATTGTAATGTCTGCTTTATTGGTTCATGTTCCAAAATTCATTAGTTGGGGGTCAGAAAAACTTGGTTGTCGTTCACAAGACGCATGGCTTGACATTGTACCGGGGTCCCGAAAAATTATCAATTTATTCTGGGCGTCTTTCACTCTTTTAGGTTCATTAGGAGTTTTATATATTTCAGTTTCCAGTTATTATGGGAGGGATTTTTTCTCTTTCATTTCGTCCGAATTTGTCATTCCTTTTTTGACACAAGGAGTCACGCTGACTTTCTATGGAATTGCCGGTCTCTTTCTAAGTTTACATTGGTGGCTTCTAATTTTTTGGAATGTGGGGAGTGGCTATAATTTTTTCGATAAAAAAAATCGAATGGTATGTTTTTTTCGTTACGGATTTCCTGGAACATATCGTCGTATTTTTCTCCGAGTTCGTATGGAAGATATTCAGTCCCTCATACTACAAGCTAACCCAGAACCTAGTAGTGGTGTCCTTTATATGCAAACCAGAGAACAGGGGACCATTCCCTTGACTCCTGTTGATGATAGGACTCCATGCAACGTTATACAAAAAGCTTGGGACTTGTCCAGATTCTTGAGTGTACCAATGGAAATCGTTCCATATTCTTGAGTATACCAATGGAAATCGCTGTATCCAAACAATTTCATTTTTAATTCATAGCTTTTGAAACACTTTTTTTCTTCTTCATTCAAATTGGCAATGGCTTATTTCGTTTTCTTATTTGATTTCTGTATTCTTTTGGATTCTTTTTTCAAATTGAAGGAAAAAGAAACTAACCTCCGAATTACAAATAAAAAGAATAGCTTCTCAATTTCTATGAAAAAATTATAAATTGATATATTCTAGGCTAAGCTCTATTACTTGTATTTACTTGTAATAGAACTTATGCTTGATAGAAAGATTATTATTATATATAGTTGAAAAATGAGATGAAACTGAGTTCATTAAAGACGAAAAATGGCAAAAAAGAAAGCATGCATTCCCCTTCTATGTCTTACATCTATAGTCTTTTTGCCCTGGTGCATCTCTTTTACATTTCAGAAAAGTCTGGAATCTTGGATTACTAATTGGTGGAATATGAAAGAATCCGAAATTGTCTTGAATACTATTCAAGAAAAAAGTATTTTAAAGAAATTGCTAGAGTTCGAGGAACTGTTCCTCTTGGATGAAATGCTAAAGGAATACCCGGAAACACGTTTACAAAACCTTCGTATCGAAATCTACAAAGAGACCATCCAATTGATCGAGACGAACAACCTAGATCGTATCCATACGATTTTCCATTTCTGTACAAATATAATCTGTTTCCTTATTCTAAGTGGTTATTCTATTCGAGGTAATCAAGAACTCATTATTCTTAACTCTTGGGTTCAAGAATTTCTATATAACTTAAGTGACACAATAAAAGCTTTTTCTATTCTTTTATTAACTGATTTTTGTATAGGATTCCATTCGACTCAGGGTTGGGAACTAATGATTGGGTCTGTCTATAAAGATTTTGGATTTACTCCGAATGATCAGATTCTATCTTGTCTTGTTTCGATTTTTCCAGTCATTTTAGATACTATTTTTAAATATTCTATTTTCCGTTATTTAAATCGTGTATCTCCGTCGCTTGTAGTCATTTATCATTCAATGAAGGAATGAAAAAACGACCCACTGATCCAATTCTAAAATTTGTTTTTTGTATAGAAAAGCTAAACATTTAAAATTGAACTTATTCGTTTTCGTTTTACTCGTATTCTTCCTATATTATAGGAAAAGAATTGGAGTAAATAGCAGAATCATGGATAGGGAACTGTGCCAGTAACCTACCTAATCTTATTGTAGAAATTTTCAGGATCAATGATTGGACCATGCAAACTAGAAATGCTTTTTCTTGGATAAAGAAAGAGATTACCCGATCCATTTCCGTATTGCTCATGATATATATAATAACTCGAGCACCCATTTCAAATGCATATCCTATTTTTGCCCAACAAGGTTATGAAAATCCTCGAGAAGCTACCGGCCGGATTGTATGTGCTAATTGCCATTTAGCTAATAAGCCCGTAGATATTGAGGTTCCACAAGCGATACTTCCCGATACAGTATTTGAAGCAGTTGTTCGAATTCCTTATGATATGCAAGTGAAACAAGTTCTTGCTAATGGTAAAAAGGGGGCTTTGAATGTGGGAGCTGTTCTTATTTTACCAGAGGGTTTTGAATTGGCCCCTCCTGATCGTCTTTCGCCCGAGATTAAAGAAAAGATAGGTAATTTGTCTTTTCAAAGCTATCGTCCCACAAAAAAAAATATTCTTGTGATAGGCCCCGTTCCTGGAAAAAAATATAGTGAAATTACCTTTCCTATTCTTTCTCCAGATCCCGCTACTAAGAGAGATGTTTACTTCTTAAAATATCCTATATACGTAGGCGGGAACAGGGGAAGGGGTCAGATTTATCCCGACGGAAGCAAGAGTAATAATAATGTTTATAATGCTACAGCAACGGGTGTAGTAAACAAAATAATACGAAAAGAAAAAGGTGGATACGAAATAACGATAGTAGATGCATCAGATGGACGTGAAGTGATTGATATTATACCGCCAGGACCAGAACTTCTTGTTTCAGAGGGTGAATCTATCAAACTTGATCAACCATTAACGAGTAATCCTAATGTGGGTGGATTTGGTCAGGGGGATGCAGAAATAGTGCTTCAAGATCCGTTACGTGTCCAAGGTCTCTTGCTCTTCTTGGCATCTATTATTTTGGCACAAAATTCGCAAAAGGATTGGCAAATAAAAGAGCTAATGCTACAACCAGCCCATAAATAGTTAAAGCTTCCATAAAAGCCAGACTAAGTAATAAAGTACCCCGTATTTTGTCCTCTGCTTCCGGTTGTCTCGCAATCCCTTCTACAGCTTGCCCTGCAGCTGTGCCTTGACCAACTCCAGGTCCAATAGAAGCAAGCCCGACGGCCAACCCAGCAGCGATAACAGAAGCAGCAGCAATCAGTGGATTCATGATAAGTTTCTCCTATTCCAAAGAAAATAAAAAAATAGTTAATAATATAATCAACAAAAAATTTATGACTTAATTATTTCATTCTTCATATTTCTCTTTATCTAGTCGAAGTGTAATTCAAAATTTCAAACTTAATAATTTTTATTGAATTATCCCAATTACTTCGATATTCACTTTTTTCGTTTCTACCCTTGTAGTTTTTTGTGAATACATACAATTTTTGGTCTTATCTTACATTTTAAACTTTTTTTTTCTTTGATTTCATTTTTTTAGTCATTTTTTTATATTCAATTCAGAATTACAAGAGATGGAATCTTTTTTTTGAATCCCTACCTAAATTTAGAGTAGTAGCAGAACAAATTTAGATAGATCGTCATATATAACTAATGAATATCTACTATGACATATACATGTGTTTGTTCCATACCGTAAACCAATGAGTTGTATCTTAGATTCAATCAATCATTCTTGGAAATCCCCCAGCTGTCTTATAACGATTAGATTATATATACACCTAGTTTGACCCCCTCAACCTTTGTTAATTTATTTAATCTCTATTTTTTTTTTTACAATTCCCTGGTAATTGTTTTAATTTTCTTTCTACTTTTTGATTGTTATTAAACCTTTTTAAAATTTCTTTGTATTTTTTTATTAATATTCCTTAAGTATATTATCGCGAGCCACACATACTTTGTTGCGGGCTAAAACACGATTTTGATAACTAGTCAATGATGCCCTTCCATGGATTCACCTATATACGCCGCAGCTAAAGTAGCGAAAATAAGAGCTTGAATACCACTTGTAAATAATCCAAGGAACATAACAGGTATAGGAACTACTAAAGGTACTAACGAAACAAGAACAACAACTACTAATTCATCCGCTAATATATTTCCAAAAAGTCGAAAACTAAGCGATAAGGGTTTTGTGAAATCTTCTAAGATGTTAATCGGTAAAAGGATTGGCGTTGGTTGGATGTATTTACCAAAATAGGCCAATCCCTTTTTTGAAATACCCGCATAGAAATAGGCTACTGACGTAAGTAAAGCTAATGCAACAGTAGTATTTATATCATTTGTGGGTGCAGCTAACTCTC